TTCGATACAATCATATCGAAAATTTTACTACTCAATACCGATGCGTTTATTACAATGTATTCAATACTATTAATTATTACTTAATTTCAAAAAACCTACATGACGACATAAGGGTCATATTAGATTTAACTTATTTTACGTACTATTTTAATTGCATTTTCAACTATAATTTAATGAAATTAAATAGTTTGTGTGCCATCGATATAGTCATATATAAACTTTGTACCTTATTTGCTACATTTTTTATTACAAATTTTTATCATGTTTTACAAATGTGTGATGTGCCATTTTATTTTTGTTACGTATCTATTAAATATTATACTATATCCTATAGTGTAATATTTTATTGTATTATTATAGTAGTAACAATATCGAACAACCTATGTGGCGTCAATCCACTCATATTTATCTGTTGGTTTCTCTGTGCCTATTTTAATATTAACAAAATAATGACGTCTTTTAATCTACAATGTTCATATACCGCTTACTGTTGTAGTAGTGTGAACTGTTATTCTAGTAACCACAATGTACTTTTTATTAAACTCTGGGCAGATGATTTGTTCAAATCCAGATTTTATTGGTATCTGCTCTTTAATATATATATTGCTTCTATATTTGAAATTTTAATTTTAATCGCAAACTTATGTTATAATTTGTGTTTTTAATGCAATGCTGTCCGGTGGGGTCTTTGCTTTTCTTTCATAGGCTGTATGAAGCATTATCTATCGTTTTCTTTAGATTTATCATGTATGGATATAGCTTTAACGATGTTCTGTTTAAACACTAATTGTTTAAAATTAATTTTGAGGAAACGTATTAATCGGCCTTAAGGGATACTTAAAACTCGGTTTTCTCAACGTCGGCTCGCTTAACACGTACTCTGAAGACTTTGTCGCACTTGTGGAGCGTCATGCTATAGACTTGATGGCGGTGGGTGAGACGTGGCTACGTGCCGGCGAGGAGGGCAGCGCCCCGCGCCCCGCAGGCTACCGATTTCTGCACACGCCGCGCCCGCGCTCCGTGCGCGATGGCCGAGGTGGGGGAGTCGGTTTTTTTGTAAAGCGCGGCATCAATGTGCGCGTTTTTGCTCACCCCGTTGAGCCATCGCTCATCTCTGTAGAACAAATGTGGCTAACGCTTAAGATAAACAACAAGATACTGGCTATCGGCACCGCGTACCGTCCACCGTGGCTGGACGTCGACTCGTTTTTCGATGCGGTTACCATATCCGTAAACTCATTAGCGTTTTGCGATAACGTCATTTTGCTCGGCGATTTTAACATCGATCTGCTCCGCCCTAACGATGTGAAAGTTAGCAAGTTTAACGCTTTTCTTAATTGTTTTGACTTGATTCAACTTGTAGCCTCCCCAACACACTTTACGGATCATAGCCAAACTCTAATAGATGTAATCTGTACTAATACGAGAGTACGGCATATTGATGTAGAACCTGTTGCCCCCCTGAGCCATCATGCCCTGCTAACTTGCGAACTACATAGCGAAAAGTTTAAAACGCAAACAAAAAGAATCAATTATAGGCCTCTTAAGAACATACCTTTAGAAGCTTTTAATTTAATTTTAGATTCTATAAATTGGAGTGATATAGTTTCTACATCTGACGTAGATAATAAGGTATGTCTTTTTAATTCCTATGTCACGTTTATTTTTGATATAGCTGCCCCTATGAAGACTAGCGTTATTAGAGAGCAAAACCAGCCGTGGATTACCAATACAATTAAAATTATGATGAAACTTCGAAATGCAGCCCATAAACGTTATTTAAAAACAAAGTTAGACTCTCATAAGTCATATTATAAAACTTTAAAAAGCTTAGTCACACATTCCATTCACAACGAAAAAACGGCATATTTTAACCATAACATAAATAATAATATTATGAAACCTAAATTGTTATGGCACAATTTAAAGTCGACTGTGCTGCCTCCGAAGCAGGATATTAATTTGCCATCGCATCTGACAGACCCTGACAAACTTAATAATCATTTTTTGAACATACCCGGAGTCCCAGGTATTGATCGATCGTACTTGAACTATTTTGACACACACCGCTACGCATATGGTACATTTTTTTCCCTTCAACCTGTTAATGAGCTGATGATCTCTAAAATTATTTCTAACCTCAAGTCGAATGCAATTGGCATCGACGGTATTTGTCTTAAGATGCTGCTTATGACCCTGCCACACTCTCTTGATGCAATCACTTCCATCGTTAACGGCTCAATAACAACATCCATCTTTCCAAAACTCTGGAAGACGGCCATAATTCGACCTTTGCCCAAAACACCCAATCCGCAAGAATTCAAAGATCTTCGTCCAATCAGCGTATTACCGTGTATGTCTAAGATTGTGGAAAAAGCTGTATGGATCCAACTGTCAGAGTATTTGGAAACTAACAATATATTACCTGAATTTCAATCTGGGTTCAGGAAAGGCCACAGCACGACCACGGCTCTCTTAGATGTTACTGACAACATCATCGCTGCTCAAGATGACGGCATGTGCACAATCTTGGTGCTTCTCGATTTTTCAAGGGCTTTTGACTGCATAGATATTTCCCTTCTACTTTCTAAAATGGTCTATTATGGTTTCGACCCAGATACAGTTAGTTGGTTCCAAAGTTTCCTCACCGGCCGTGGTCAGTGTGTCGAAATAGTGCAGGATAACGGTCAGACGCGGCGTTCTGCTTATAGTACCCTTGATAGAGGCGCCCCCCAGGGAACTATTCTTTCTCCTCTTCTTTTTGTTTTGTACACAACAGACGTAGTTAAGTGCATTCGAAATTGTAAATATCACCTATACGCCGATGACTTACAAGTGTACATTTCGTTTAAAGCTAGTGAATGGGCATCCGCCGTGCGATCCCTTAACCAAGACCTAAACGCCATACAAAATTGGTCCCAAAACAACTCTCTCGTCCTAAACGCAGCTAAGACTAAATATATCGTTTTTGGATCTAAGTACCAGTTAAATAATGTACCGGTGGATTGTCAGGTTAGGTTAGGTTCTGAAAGCGTCGAACGTGTCTACGAAGCCAGGAGTTTGGGATTAGAGCTAGATCCAAACCTACGCTACGAAAAATATATCTTGGGAGTCATTAGGAATTGCTTTTATAGATTAAAAGTTTTATACAAAGTTCGGCAATACCTGACTGAACAACTTCGAATCCAACTGGTCGAGTCCTTGGTACTGTCTAAATTGAATTACGCTGACACAGTGTACGGCCCCTGTCTGTATGCCAAGACTGGAAAGCTAATACAGAGAGTACAAAATGCATGCGCCCGGTTTTGTTTTCCTATACCACCTCGAGCTCACGTTACGCCTTTTTTAAATGAGCATAATATTTTAAAACTTGAATTCCGCAGAAAAGTACACTTGGCATGTCTACTTTTCCAAGTCGTAAAATCGCAAGCGCCTAAATATCTTTTTACGAAATTAAAATGGTCGAAGAGTAGATGCGCTGACCGAAAGCAGCGGTTCTTACAGCTCAGTACCCAGCGGCATAGATCAGCGGCGTTTCGTGGTAGTTTCCGCTATGCTGCTACTCGCTGTTGGAATAACATCCCGCCGCCTGTTATGAGCGCGCTAACAAAAGTGACATTTAAAAGCCGATTAAAGGCTTTTTTTATGGAAGCCCAAAAAGGTAAATAGTAATAGTTTAATTATTTATATACCGAAAGACTAATATGTATCGAACCTCTTTTGAAAGTGCTCCCCCCCCCCGTTTTGCTATTACATTATATTATTTTCGTTTATTTATTTTTTTTTTCTCCTCTTATTATGCAGTGGTCTTACCAGTTTACTATGGTTTTTGCGAGCTAGTGACAGAATCTAAAGCGAGAACATTGAGCTGTTTTTAAAATGAAGAATGAAATGAATTATTTATTATTTATATATATATATTTTTTCCATTGAATTATATTATCTTTACCTTGTTTTCTTACCTTTCAATAATTTTACTGCTGTAACTGACGTACGGAAGACGCAAAGGCTTTCGCAGAATATCAGCGTTTTTACCCCCCGGGGTACTAACATATAGCTGA